TGTGGGTGTACGGGAGTTCGAAGGTAGGCCATCATGATTCCAGAAAATGGCTCACTGCCAACTCCTCAAGAACACTTAGGGAGGGGATACAAATGTTGGCCCAGCCAGGGATGACCACATCATAGTAAAGCAATTGTAAATAGAGGAAATATACCCCAAGACAAATCTAAACCTTTAAGAAAGGTGGACTAAAAGGTAAAGAAGGAAGATTAGAAAAACAGCTAAAAATGGCCACAGGATTCTTCCAGCTAGCCTGGTGTTTACTTCCAGTTCTAACATTTATTTTTGAAATGTTATCAGAAAGAAGAGGCTGGCCTGCTTTTACCTGCAGACACGTTAATAATTGAAAATGTTGAGTCTAGACCCTAGAATAAAAAGAACATGGAGTTTCAGTGTTTGGGACTACAAGCCTTTTGTTTTGTGTGATTTGTCCTCTGACCAGTGCCTTTCCTATATAGGCTTTTGTAAACCATCAAGGAACAGTTTACCTTTCATTCTGACCAGGTACAGAAGCAAATATCTTGACAAAGGAAACAAATGTAAAATCTCGTCCTTCTGTGAAACATCAGCGATATCGGTTGCAGGTTCTAAGCTCAGTCACTGCTCAGTTCCTTAAATGCAAACTAATGTAAGCAAGTGTTTCAGTCACATTTGAATTCTGTCCAGCAAGCTGAACTTCCTGATTCAGTTCATCTACAAGGAAGCAAATCAACAGCCCAGCATGAGGGCTGCATTTTGTTCATTTGCTATTTTGATATGAATATAGCAAAAAATGAATAAGGGAACAAAGCATTTTGGTAGTTCTACCAATCTCTTGCATCCAGGGGAATCTCCAATTGCCCATGAGAAGAAATAATGCCACCATGGGAATGGACTGGGGAGGGGGTCTTCTCTATTCTGGGCAGAACTAACTCTAGGATTGGATGAATCGGGTGATTTGGGGGGCCCTGCTGTGGGAGGGACCATAGGCATCAGGAGGAACTGGGAGCCAGGGTGGGGTGAAATACTGGGATTGGCACTATGTGATAGTGGGCAATAGTCATCAGAGCCAAGTTAAACCTGCCAACTCGGAGACCTTTGTTCACGGACTGGAAGGAAATTCAGGAGGATTACGGGAGAGGCGGTGCACGGTGTGATTTGCCTCGGTGTTGGGGGAGGGGCCCACACAATGTGATTTCCCCTGGGCCCTGGCCCAGGGATGGCCCTGACTCTGGGACTTCTCAGACACTGGTGTAATCCTGGTATATCTCTTGGGATATCATATTCCAAGAAGATTTGGTTCCAGGTTGCTCTTTAATAATGTATATTGTACAATATATTGGCAGGGCAAATGTGTTTGTCCAATTACTGTGTACGTCAGTGAACATAGTTTTGCATAATTTAGGATGTTGATGTTTCCTTTGTCCTACTAATAATAAATGATTGTCAGGGTTACAGAGAGCAAGGAACTCTTCACTGCAAATACAGTGAGGCAGCTTCTCTATCCATTGACAAACCTGTGCTGGAGTGACATGCCTTCTAACAATTAAATGGTATTGTCTAAATTCCTATCATTGTCAAACGGATGAAAAGGCTCTTAAAACCAGAATTGAAAAAGTAACAAAGCGCAAGAACTTGCAATTATCTATTAGTGGGACAGAGTCCCAGGACTTTCTCTGCTCCACCACCCTAATTACATATATAAACAGTGTTTCTATCCTAGTGAGTAGCAGAATATTCATCCCCATCGTGTCTTTAATATCTGACGGATCTTTATAGAAGAAAGCCTGGATGCCAAAGAGTAATGGTAGAAATGCAGAAGGTGGTCAAGAGTGTTGGTTTTAGGGAGGCCTGTGAAGCTAGCTAGGAGTGGAGCCAGCAGAGGATAATAGCAAGAGTTCTGTCACTAGTTGCAGGGCAAGGGTTTGGGGGATGGGGTGTGGTAGAGGTAGGCCCCAGACTGAAGAACTCAGCCTAAGACAGAGGACTGAAGGAGATTGCCAAGGTAAAGCACAATGTAGATGAGGATGAATAGCTGATGGTTTTGAATGCAATGGACTGTGGCACAAGGCTTGTTGCAGACAGTAGGAGAGGGAGATTGGGACTAAGATTGAAAACAGAGTGCAGGTCTCAAAGGTTTGAATGGTTTGTTTCTGAGTTCAAATTGGAATACGTGGAATTAGCAGCAGCAGCACCCGTGAAGAGAATCAATCTTAAATTCCCTCAAGTATTACAGCAGTTGTCAGTACAACACATGGTGATGGGTTGCTATAATAGCTGGCAAACAAATGGGAAATGTGGCACTGTACACAAAATGAAGATGCAATGTGAAGCTTTGCCAGGACCATAGGAATGTAATGTATGGAATGCAATCACTCAGGCCTAATTTTTCCAGTTAGCATAACTTTAATGCTGATGTTAATGCATTTAAATAACACCATTTTGTAGCATGGATCAGAAAATAAATTGTAACCTAGGAGTTTATTCTTGATCATCTTCCATGGAAAATAGAAATGTTTCTGAAGTTCTGCTCATGCTCATTTACATCAAAGCCAAATCCCAGTGGTGAAATTGCAGTGGATTTACTCTTGCCCAGTACCCAGATTGTCTGCAGGAATGGCAACATAAGATTTTTCCCAATTTTCTCCACTAAAACATTCTTCAAACAACTTTCACAGTAACTACAGCTGGAACAGCTAGCAGAGGGAGAAAATATGTGTCAATGCATTAGCTCAATAGTTGACTTATGAAAAGCAATACTCTGCAGATGCAAGGAGATTGGAAGGGAGATGGTCAACATCATTGCCCCTAGCGCACGCTGGCAGGGAATGGTGGGAAAATGCGGTCTCCCAGCTGGTGACCTTCCATCCGTAAAATTATACAATGATGAACTCAGAGCCAGGAGTGGGGCAGTTTCTCAGTGTGTGTTCCCATTTGGCTTAAAAGTGCTCAACTAGGAAATCTCCTCAGTGATTTCAGGCATATGAAAGGCTAGGGTAATATTTCCAAATCTAAATCAATTGGATTGGAGTCAGTTTAATTTGATCCAAATGTGTCCCAACTCAACAACTTTTCAGATTCATTATGAGCATTCCACCTCTTTTGATTGGATTGTTCAAAGTTAGCATGTGTTTTCGGACTGTGGTGTGCTTTAAGGTCCTAAGTAAAGACACTATAGTCCTAGTGGAGCATAGAGTCTTATGAGATTTTGATTGTACATAGAAAGCCCTAACGTAGACAGGAGATGGGTGGGGTCAGCCCATTTGTGATTTTAGGAGTTTCACGATGATCATAATTCTGCAGAGGTTGGCTAATCCTCTATCACTCAAGTAAATGTGGGCCAAGGTTTGGCAGAGGGTCTTACAATAGAGAACGAGGTGGAGGATTCAAAAACTGGCACAGAGAAGGCCTAATCTTTACTGAAGAGTTCAGTGCATGGTGGGCAAGAATGGGATGGGCAAGAAATGCTGGCCCACCAGTGATGCCCACATCCCACAAATGAATAGAAAAAAAAATTGTCACCTTATTTTATGGAAGGATATAAATGTGTAAGAGATAGTTCAGAAAAGTGTTTACTAGATTGATACTTGGAATGGGTAGGTAATCCATGGGGCAAGACTGGAGAGGTTAGGCTTGTATACACTGAAATTTAGAAGAGTGAAAGAGAACTCGGTTGAAATGTATTTAATCCTGAAAGGTTTGGACAGAGTAGATGTGGCGCAGATGTGGCTCACCCTTATGGGAGAGTCTAGAATCGGGGTCACTATTTAAAAATCAAGTTTTGCTCATTTGAAACAGAGTACGCAAAATTTCTCATCTGAGTCATTAGTCTTTGGAACTCCTCCCCCCTGTAAAGGTGGTAGAAGAAGAGTCTTTGAATTTTAAGGCAGAGTTAGGTAGATTCTTAGAGTCATAGAGTTGTACAGCACAGAAACAGACTCTTCAGTCCAACTCATCCATGTCTACCAGATATCCTAAATTAATCTAGTCCCATTTGCCAGTGTTTGCCCCTTATCCCTGTAAACCCTTCCTATTTATATACCTATCCACATGCCTTTTACATGTTGTAATTGTTCCAGCCTCCACCACCTCTTGTTAAACCAGGAGGTGAAAAGTGATCAGGTGTTGGCGGTATGTGGATTTCAGATTATAAACAGATCGGCCAGGACTTATTGAATGGAGGAGCGGGCTCAAGGGGCTGAATGGCCTACTGCTGATTTGTGTGTTGGTATTTACAGAGAGGCATCCAGGTCCTAAATCTATAAAGGAAAGGAAAGTGGTCGGAACTTACCCGAAATGATCTCTTCTGCTTCTGATTTTCTTCCAACTTGAAGGTGTTGAATGGAAAATGACTTCTCTGCTCAAGTCACAGTTCAAGTAGTGATAGGAATGTGGAGACATTATTGGACAGTCATGATACACAATCTGCACACTTAGGGCACCAGCTGGCTTTGGGTAGCTGCCTTCTGCTGTTCACTTGGAACAGGAGGTTAATATGTAGAATAGTGAGACTCAAATTGAACATTGGTTCTAAAAATGATGTGGTGGCATAATGGTAGATTCATTGGACTAGCAATCCAGAACCCCAGGGGCAATATTCTGGGCACATAATCTCAAATCCCACCATGGCAGATGGTGAAATTTGAATTCAATAAAATCGGGTATAGAGATCCGGTTCACTAATGTCCTGTGAGAAGGGAAATCTGCTGATCTTGGCTCATCAGATCTACATGTGACTCCAGTCCGGCAACAACATGGTTGACTCTTAACTGTCCTGTGGGCAATAAGGGCTGGCCTTACCATCAATATCCACATCCTGCGGATAAATTTAAAAATAATCTCTAGGCTTTTAATTGCCTGTTCACCTGGTTCCAGTGAGACAGAGAAGTTTGAAATCAGTCTTTTGCATCTTCCATTCTCCTAAAGTATACTTACGTCGAATCAAAAGGATGTCTACTATTGGACATATTGACTTCAATCCAATACTTGTGAGTGATTTATGGTTTTTGTTTGTTTTTCAGGATCGACAAATCTACTGTAGCTGCCTTAAGACAGAGGTGAGTTCTCTCATTTGGACAATGCCTTCTTTGGTATTGGATACTGTGTAAGATGGTCTGTTACTGTAGGTTCTGATAATGTTTCATTCTTTCAGGTCAAGATGTTACGTAAATTGTGTTTTGTGCAGCTGTTGTTGAATTTGAACATTCTGCAATCTCCTGACTCCTTTCAGCAAGTTTACTTAAATGAACTTGAAGTCTGGATTTTTTTTTATGCATTGTGAAATGCCATGATTTCCAGGTGTGGGAATAAGTGTTGTTTTCTATAAAATAGTTTTATGTGTTCTGCTGACAGCCATCACCAGGAGGCTGCCGCTATTTTTTTTGCTATTGTCTGATGTTCAGTAGAGTTTGTTGCTTAGTTGTTGTCATGTTAAAAGCTTGTTTTAAAGTTGTCATGATTGCCTGGAATTATCACGTGGACTTTCCCTCAGCTTTGGTGAATGATCAATAGAACCCATCTTCCCTTTCACCACCCTGAAGAATTGACTCCAAACTGCAATTTGTGCCATTCCTCCTCTGTCTCTAATGGTCTCCTTGCCAGGTTATATCAGGAGAACCTTGTAGGAATTCTATTGAATTTGTTTAAAATAATCTGGATATTGGCCCAGGATTTCTTTATGATTTCTACCTGGCTAACAGCAGAATTTTTTTTGGAAGGAAATAAAATTGTGCAAAAGCTTTTTGGAATTTGAAGTGTAAGCGAACATGCAAAATTTCCCACTGGAGTTTTTGAGAATTTATGCACTGGTTCAATGATCAGTTTGCCTAAAGAATTAAGTGGCTCAGTGCCTGAGTTAGTCCAAGATCTAACAAGAACACATTAAAGCATTCATACAGGAACAAAGTGATATACCCTATATGTAGGTCAAATATAAAACCATGAAAATGACACAGTTTAAGAAGTCCTAATGAGCAGGGATGATCACTGAAGACTAACTCCGAACTCAATGAAGAGGCGAAAGTATTTGAAAGAAACTGAAATGCTGTTTAATGGCCTGCAGTGCCAGAGTGTTTAATTGCCATAACTGGTCTTTGAAGAGACACTCAAATAAAAGGAAAAATTGCAGATGCTGGAAATCTGAAAAAAAAACATAGAGAATGCTGGAGAAACTCAGCAGGTCTGGCAGCATCTGCAGAGTAAGAAACAGTTAACTTTTCAAGTCGAGTATGACTCTTCTTCAGAACCGAGTGCTGAAGTTGTGTGCTGGAGAAATCCACACTGATGCAAAGGGGGCTTTGAGACTATTACTGATCAGTAGTCATGTCAGCAACAGCCTATTTTCTACAGGTGTTTTTTGCAAAGAAACAGTAGAGTTGCCCCAGTGAGATTTGTGTGCATGCAGACTTGATGACTACCACACAGCATCTCCAAATGGCCAAGCCGGTGGTTCTGAATATGACCTTTTGGAACAGATTATTCTAGGGGCTTGAGCTAGTCTGAAAAGTCTGTGTGATCCTATCTCAATGATGGATTTTTCCTCCTCGCAGAAATCTGAGATACTGTACATCCAGAGCAAGAATAAAGCTCAATTCAGTGACTTCATCAACATGCTCTAGTGGTCCCAGTCCCTCCAGAAATGTTCAATCTCACAAGTTATTTCCTTCATCACACACCCTTTCAAGTTTAACACAGAACAGGCGCACTGAATCAAGCATGACATCATTGAAGGAGGCCATTCATTCCATCATGTCTGTGCTGTCTCCTACAAAGAAGTATCCAGTTAACCCCACTCCCCTGCTCTTTGCACAGAGCCCCTCAGATCTCTAAATTCCAAATACTTATCTGATTTCCATTTGAAATGTACTGTTGAATGTGCTTCCACCACCATTTCAAGCAATGTCTTCCAGGTCATCACAACTTACAGTGTTTAAAAGAAAACTCCTAATTTTCCTCCTGGGACTTCGTCAAATTATTTTAATTCTGTGCCTTCATGGTACCTTCCTGACAATGGAGATAGCCTTCCTCCATCCATTATATCAAATCCCTAATAACTTTGGAACCTCAGTTAAATCTCCCTTTAATCGTCTCTGCACTTGCGACAAAAATCACAGCCTCTCTCATCGCTCCAGATAATTCAAGTTGTAAGTCTGTACTGTCCAGAATGTATACTGCCTCTTAACAATTAACCTATTTCACAAGCGAATGCGTTTTGGATTGAATGAGCCAAAAAAAAAATAGATGCTATTCTTAAACATTGCACTCATAGCAAAACATCTGTGGAAGCAAAAGTGCTATTTATGGGGATGCTGTCCTTTCACTTCCACGATTTGAGTTTGAATCCAATCAGAAATGTATGAGTTAAACTCTCTTCCCACACATCTCAAGTTAAATGTTGATGCTTCCAATCCATTTCCAGTTTGGCATAGCTTTGCAGCACAAAGCCATCAGCTCAAATAAAAGTCTCACGCAGAAAGGCTGTGACAATGGTTAGGGGATGATGTGGAACAGACACAGAAGAGACCGAGTGCATGTTTTGTTGCAGAATAGATGGAACTTGACTCTGCATCTAATCCACATTGTGTTTAACCATGGAGGAATTGATGCCAGTACATCAATAAGTCTGCATGAATTTGAACGAAACAATTAATGCTTCCTAAAAACTGTAACTTTGATGTTTCTTTGATCATCTGAAAATTTTAACAAACATTTTATTTTTTTCCTTTCTAAGCACAGAGCCTTTGTCAAACTTTTCTGAATATCTTTTGCAAGATCCCACCACTGCCACCTTGATGTATGGTAGCAAAATATACTAATGACCAACTGTAATACATATGTTAGCTACCACGACATACAGATGAGACATAGTTCGCAAAGTAATGAAGAATGCAACAAATGTAGGGTCATAGAGGTCTACAGAAAAGAAGTCGTTCAACCCATCCTGTCAAAAACAAGCACCTGACTAATCCTATGTTAAGGCTCTTGACCTAAAGCTTTGTATACCTTGGTATCACAAATTGACTTTTAAATATTTCTTAAATGTTATGAGGGTTTCTGCCTCTACCATCCTTACAGGCAGAGAGTTTCAGATACCACCACCCTCTGGATGAAAAGCTTTTTCTTCGTATCCCCTCTGAACTTCTAGATTTTATGACACCACCTGATATATCTATATATAATGTGTATTATGATCACAGGCACTTGAGTGTCTTGGTACAGGCTAACCAATTCAGATGTACTATAACAGGATTACCTGAGTATGTGATACTTCAAGGGAACAGAGCTATGTAGGATGGAGACTATGATACAGTGATCACACCATGAGCATGTCTCTTAAAGGTATATTGTATATCTGCTATGAGACAGAACACAGCACTCCATGACCCCAAGCCTAAACTGTCTTGTCCTGTTGCACTGTTGTAGCTGACAATATCGTTCTTAGTTTACTTTCCTTCACCTCTTATGCTTCTTTACAGACTTTTGTAAATCTCTTTCTCAAACATCAGTTTTCAAAGCTTCAGAGTCCCAGCTCACCAAGCAATGTCTTAGAACTCACCCCAAGACACTGAGGTTCAGTCAGTACAATCTAAGGGGCTTGTAGTATCATGATGATCAGATTTGTTTGCAGTACAAAAGTGGGAACTGAGCATTCAATGGCCTGTGGTTTTGACAAATTAATTATAATAATGGTATACCATGGTATCTTGAAAGATTGCTGCTTGAAGAGCAGATTTTGATAATTATACTAATTGGTCATGATAACAAAATAATAAAGTACACAATTGGAGTCTCCGAAATATATTTGGGATGAAATCTGCAATATATGTGAAAAACTGAGTAATAGCTGAATCCTGTGGAGTTGTGTATCTGTTTGTAAAGACTCCTGTGCAATGTTGGACTTGCAATAGAAACCTCACTGGCATTTTGAGTCTCATTTTATTTTTCCCTGCATGCAGCCTTAAATCTTAGAGCTACATGTAGCTATCTGACCCAGTTTCATACTGCCTGTGCGCTGTGCTTTAGGACCATTGTTCAGATTGCATTGCATGACCTCTTAGAGGTCTAAATCACAGAGGTATAGAGTTGTACAGCATGGAAACAGATTCTTTGGTCCAACTCATCTATGCTGACTAGATATCCTAAATTAATCTACTCCCATTTGCCAGTATTTAGACCGCATCCCTCTAAATCCTTCCTATTCAAATATGCATCCAGGTGCCTTTTAACTCAGCTCATTCCATACATGCACCATCCTCTGTGTGAGAAAGTTCCTCCTTAGGTCCCCTCTCACCTTAAACTATGCCCTCCAGTTTTGGACTCCCCTACCCTGAGAAAAAGGGTATTCACCCTATCCATGCCTCTCATGATTTTACAAACCTCTATAAGGTCACCAGGGAAAATAGCCCCAGCTTATTCAGTCTCTCCCTGTGACTCAAACCTGCCAACCCTGGCAACATCCTTGTAAATCTTTTCTACACTCTCTCAAGTTTAACAACATCTTTTCTATTGCAAGGAGACTAGAATTGAACAAAGTATTACAAAAGTAACTAATATCCTGTACAGTCACAACATGACCTCCATATCCTATACTCAATGCACAGACCAATAAAGGCAAGCATACCAAACGCCTTCTGCACTACCCTGTCTACCTGTGACTCTACCTTCAAGGAACTATGAACCTGTACCCCAAGATCTCTTTGTTTGGCAGCACCCTTCAGGACCTTACCATTAAGTGCATGAGTCTGCCCTGATTTGCCTTACCAGAATGCAACACCTCACATTTAAATTAAATTAAATTAAACTTCATCTGTCACTCCTTGGTCCATCTGATCAAGGTCCTGGTGTACTCTGAGATAACCTTCTTCACTGTCCACTACACCATCAATTTTAGTCATTGTTTGATAGAGATGTTCTAGGGTTTTCCAACTTCTTTCTGTCAACTGTAGTTCCGTGACAGTCCTATCATCACTCTAGGGTCTTGAGCTCAAATTCCAGGCTGACACTCTAGTGCAATAATGAGGAGCTGCTACATTTTCAGAGCTGCTGCCTTTTCAGTGAA